ACGTAACGGCTGCTGTTTGCTGCTGCTGCTGCTGCCATCGCCAATAAAGGTCAAATTAAGGGGGCGGCGCAGGAGGTCGCTGCTGGTTTGCTGTGCATGCATTTAACCCCTAACATCGCGACGCGTGCAAATAAAATGGGAATGCCCCGGCATTGGCAGCGGCATCAGTATCCAGCATCCAACAGCCAGCATCCAGCATCCGCAGAGGAGAAACTGCTCCAGCTTGAGCTCCCCCTTGGGCGATGCTGCTGACGTTGCCATGACACTGTTGGACCGGTCTGAAATTCTCTTGGGCTATCGGAGCAGGAAATAATGTTCAACCAGGCGGAAGTAGTTGCTATATCAAAACGTATTGATTGACTTTGCGAATGCACTCCGGTAACAGGCCACCCTGGGATGGATTGAAATTGGAATTAAAGTTCGCCATAAGCATAAATGAGTTCCAGCCATAAGTGGTTATCTGAATGTTCAATTCTATTCCTTACAGGACCTAAGCATCACTAATTCTTATGGGAATTTTCTATGTGAATTAAGTTTTATATTTGATAAAGTTTTAGCTTTGAGTTACTAGTAATGTTTTAATGTTATGTAGGAAATTATAGTACCAAATCACATGCAGATTTCGGTTTGATCACGAAAACTATCCATTAAATTTACATACATTTACATTATAAGGGATTGAAGTTGGTAAAATGGGTTTCGTTTTCTCTCTGAAAACTCTTAAGAAACCTTCTCTACCTATCGTTTACAACATTTCTTTTTACTTGTAATAACGTAACGTTACTCAAGTGACAAGTATATGGACATTACTATATCTTGCTAACTGTTGCTTCTGCTTAAGAATACATTCACTATGGGTTTTGGAATCGTTTCCTTTTCCCTGTTACCTACAAAATTTCTATCCAAAATACTCCTTTACTAAAGCAAACATTAAAATTGGATGGGCCTACCTGACTTTCGATATAATCTTAATCGTTTTCGGAACTCTCCTACTCCTTTCTAGATGACCCGCCTTCTAGTTACTTCATTAGTGCATCTGTTCCGCTTTTAAAGTGACGAGCCTGCCGGCTGAGAAAGCCCTTACTCCTGCACAAAAAAAATACAATTTGCATTTATGCAAATCGATGGCGTCGGCCATCTTGATCGCTTTCACTTCAACCGCTTTCACTTGCAAGTGTTGTAGCTAACTGCAACCTGAATAAATCTCTACCCGAGGCACTGGTACATTTTATGCACTTAATTTATGCGCTTTTCAAGTACTTCTCGGTAGAAAAGTTATTGCCACGTGCCGTTCTCAAATTTAGTGACTTTCACTTTTAGCTTAATACCATTTTTACATGTCGCCATATGAGAAAAAATGTTGTGCATGTTCGGTTGCAATTTTTTTCCTGTTGTGGCTGGCAGGTTTTTAATTAAAAAATTCTACAGGGTGGGAGGTCACACAAAAAAGAAAAGGCTGGAGGTTGCCGCCATTTTAATGCTGATTTTATGCAAATGACAATTGATTGAAAACGGGAGGCGGTCCCCTTTGTGCTCGCTGTCTCTAGGCGTGTAAGCGGGTTTTGTGGGGATATTAAAATAATGACCATAATATGCCATAAACAAACAAAGTTTAATAAATTATATTTCACGTGGCGCTATATATTTTTCATATTTATGGTTAAAAAATTTTAAAATAGTTTAATCAATAACGATTATTGGCATAAATGGCAGAAGGAAAAGCGAGTTGTTTTCTTCCTATCATCGACATCGATGTTTTTATTCAGTTAAAAAAAACACATAATTTTTTAGTAATTTCTTACATTTATTTCATAATCAACAAAATAAGAAGATGGCTATTTTTCTGTGCTGTTAACTCTTGTAATTCCCTTAGTCAGGCATATTATTAGCCCATAAGATTCGCTTAATAAAAGATTACTTGCTATAATCTTTCCCAAAATATTAACATAATTCAGTTGTTTAGTTTTCACAAGAAAATCAACAATAAACTTTATGATAACAACAAAATCAGTTTATTTACTATTTATGTTATAATTACTCTACAGAAAATCAACAACTAAATGCCTGAAAAATAATGCATTTATAAAGTGACTAATTTCGTTTGTTGATTTAAGCCTCTTTTATTTTCGCTAAATAAACATTTGCCCAACTCGTGTGCCAATTCAATTTTTAGGTATTTTTATGAAATTAATTAAATTGTTACCGTTAGATGCTATTGACCAAACGCTAACGATGCGTTTTGGCCATTCTCGAGGCCTGCGTCCACGCACATGCAATTAGACATTCAAACATATTTGGTAATTTTATCCCTCTAATTGCGTTGGTCATTTAAACGTTAATCTGATGCATCGAGAACGTGGCAATGTTTTTTGTTTATGCCAAAAATGTAACTAATTGTAATTTCAAAATACGCTGATGTTTGTTCAGGAGATTTGTCACTCATTGAAAAGCAATTTTGGCCAAGAGCATTACTACTTTGGCAGCTGCTTTTTGCTTCTTTGTGGTCCAAAATCGATAGAATTTAAGAAGTTAGAACAATTCAATAAATATGTCTTTTTGTTTCGTTTTGGAGTGTTTTTTATTGGTTAGATTTTATTTATTACAAGGATTCAAGAAAACTTAATAAAATTTTTTTCCAAATATTTGATTAGGTTTAAGCTAATGACTTTTACACAGAAATAAACATTTTAAGAGCATCTTAAATTTGCTATAAATTAAAATTAATTGAAATGAAAATTATTTCCATAGTTTCTCCAACTTTGTACTAAATACCTATAACTTTAATATATGATTTTGCTGTAATGCAACATAAATATATTCCACTTTTCCCGCCTCTCATATTTCGTCTACTATTCATTATGATCCTGGGTGGGTCTTTAGCATTCATCAGTCACCCCAGTAAATTTAATTAACCAAGAGCACCACCCTAACACCCTTGACTCCTCCTCCCACACACACACACATGGATGTCCTTTGGGGGGAATATTTGATTTAGTGAGCCCTGCCATCAAGGACTGCTATTAAAAACCACATCAAAATATACAGAAAGATTGCCGAAGCAATGTCTTTCGACGTCTAGCATATTGCGGAACTGAACAATAAGCAAGTCCAAACTTAACGACAACTAAATCCAATTATAAGCATTTCGCTGGGGCGCAACAGGAGCTGCCAGGATATGGCGTGCGCTGCACATCGAACACGTGTGCGCAACGAATTTTTTGTTTGGTCCTTTGGGGTGGTTGGGTGGCTGGGTGGCTGTGGGTTGGGTGGTTCGCGTGCCGCGGTGGCTGGGCGGCTTGAATGGGTGCGTCGGTCTCGTTGGCAAATTGCATGCCGCCCGCAGCGTTGCATAAAGGTTTACTTTTCATTTACGCGCGCCGAAAAGGAAGGACAAAGGAACAACCCTTACAAATGCATTGCACCCACCCACACTCACGCCGAGTGCCAGAGAGTCCTTTGTGAGGTTTATGTATATATGTGCGTATGTATGGTTCTACCCACTCCAGGAATCACCGAAAAATTGTAATTAAACTTAATCCGCTCAATTTGAAACGCACATCGAGGCGGTCAAAAGTGCTTCTGCCCCAGCTGCCAGCCTCAATTTTCTCACATTGGCCCTTTTAGGCCCACTGAATATTTATGAGGATCCTGTGGCGAATATACTTGGCTTTTAATGAAATTTCAAATGTAATGAAAACATTAATATATTGCAAATAATATACAGAAAACATACAGTAAGCTAATGCATATATATTTTAATAATTTCTTTATTAATCTGAACTTCATTCAAAAATTAAATCTCTGATTCTCATAAAGCTCTAATGATATATTTATGATCACATCCAGAATTCGAATTAAGTTATTTGGCTTTTTACTGTTTTTACAACCTTGGTAAAATGAAATTTTTGTTTGTTGTCCTTTCCAATCTTTTCCTTTTTTGCCTGTGTGCCTTCATGCATTTAAAATGTGCATAAATTATTGAATTAGTGCGTTTGCCACCAATTTCCCTTATTCTTTTAAGCAATTTTAACGCTCAGAATTTTTTACAATGAGAAATAAAAAAGATTTCAGGAAGGCAGCGAAAGCAAAAGTGGGAAACACTTTCCTATAATTTATGCATGGCTCTGAGGCTGACGTTGACTTTGGTTTGGTTTTCTGGTTGCCTTTTCATTTATTTATTTATAACATTCACAATCAGTGGAAACTGCCAAAGGGCCGAAGCCAGCAATTAGTTCCAAGATCCTTGGGGATGTTTTAATTATTGCATCGAAAAAAATTCTCCCTTTGGTTATGGGTGTGGCCTAAATGTAATAAACATTTTCAAGAGTTTTTTTTTAATGTTAAAGTATTTGTTCTATTGTTCATTTTGTTTTGCTTAGAAATCAATTTTTTTTTGTACAAATATACAGACTGTTCTCAAAATATGTGAAAAGTATTGTTTAAATTTGAAGAAGGTTATTTATTATTTATATATTATGTTTTCAATAAGGTTCGTAACCTGTTCATTGGGGGTAGAAATGAAAATTTAAATTGGAGCTGCTTTAAGATAATTTTATAAGCTAATTTAATTATTAATACTCCGGCTTGCCGAAGTTGGTATTTTCTGGCTACGTTTTATTTTTCATATCAACGTTTACGATTATTTTCTGTATGGCTTTATTTCTGGGACTTTATTCTTGAAATAACTATACTGATAAGGTACAACTAAAATATTTGTATTCCGGCGCTCGTTTGGGAAAAACACAAATAATTAATATAAATAATAATAATATAAATAGAAGATATGTCTAAATAAAATCCGTTTCTTACAAAAACCCGATATTTAAAGGTCTTTTAATTTAAATTACCCAATGCAGAAGATAAGAAGGCACTTTGAAAATCGCTTAATTTCGTTATCGATATAACACCCGAGTAATCATAATTTTATAGAAAGCTGATAAGGAACTAACATAAAAGGTAAGTCACCCAAGTAAACGCAGAAGTTTCCGTTAGACATTCACAAGAAAGAGGTCTTGAACTCAGTACATCATGACACCCGGATCCCAGAATAATTTTACCATACGGATCATGACGAAGGACGATTACCCAAGAGTAAAAGCATTCATGAAGGATGATTTCCTTAAGTCAGAACCCCTGTGCCAATCCAGTAGCAAGCCGATGGAACTGGAGAAGGAGAAGGAGAAGGAGATGGACGATTATCATCTCTCATTGATAGCCCAAGGCACCTGCTTGGTGGCAATTGACGAGAGCAACGGCGACAAATTGGTTGGTTTTGTCCTCGCCGGAGCGCAGTTTCCCGAAGATCTCGAGAAGCATCGCCAGGAGGCAGAGGTAATGGACCAAAATTTCTTGGGCCGCATTACTTTCATGCTCTCCAAGATCGAGCGCGAAGCAGATATCTTCCGGAGATATGGTATCTCCAAGGCTCTTTACTCCCATATCACCAGTGTTGCTGCTTCAATGAGAGGAAAAGGGTTGGGCTCCCGGTTAGCCAGCAAACTGATGGATGTGGGCCGCTCCAAGGGATTCCCTGCGATGGTGGCCTACTGCACCAGTTTCTACTCTGCCCGCCAGAAGGAAGCCCTGGGAATGGAGTGCATTCACTCCCTGGTCTACGCCGACTACAAGGACGATAGTGGTCATCCGATCTTCACACCGGCAGCTCCGCACACAAAGGCTCGAGTCATGTTCATCAAATTGTGAGTTGGGATATCTCATAGGAAACTAGATCCCAATCTCAGTAGTGTAACTAATAACCATTATGGCAGATTTAATATAATTATTTTGGAAAAGAAAAAAAAGATATTGTGTCAGTTGTTATCAGTAGAACTTATCATGTTAGTTTTGTATCTCTTGACCAATTACCGACGCGTATAAACGTTTAATTTTTTTTATTGATAAGAAAATAAATAAAACACTAACAAAAATCGTTGAAAAGCAAGATAAGATTATGTGAAAACGCTATGAAACCGCTTCTTGGGTCTGTCGTCAAAATGTGTGAATATCAAAAAAGAAGTATAACAAGAAAGGAAACTAACTTCGTCACGCCGAAGTTTATATACCCTTGCAGATAGAACTTCGATCACTAAGAATTAATACAATTTAAATAATATATGTATATTTATGTTAAAAAGCAATGAAGTAATGCCTGTTCTCTGGGTGTTGAAATGACCACTTACGCACATTAAAATTGGACATATTGCTTTCAGATGATTTGATAAATTAATTGAATTATTTTTTAAAGGGTATCAAATCTTATGCCCGGCGAAGTTTGTACTTTTTCTGGTTACTTTGTATATTTCGTATCAATATTTACAATTATTTACAATTATTTACTGGATGGCTTTATATTTGGGACTTTATTCATGAAATGATCATACGATAAGATACAAGTATAATATTTGTATTCTTTTGCTAGTTTAGGAAGATGTTCAGGCAATGCCAATAATCCGTTCATATTTAAATAAATAGAGTGTCGTAAATTTATATTATAATATAATTATATATTATATGTAAGTGCACTGCACTTAAAACAGCCAATTAAGATTGTTCCTTCTTAATTAGTAACTTAGTGGAAGACCACAGACAAGGTCCTTGCCGCTAAAATTACTCAAGGGTTAGATTTTGGTGTAGGTTATATCGAAGATGTGTCTAAATAAAATCAGTTCCTTATAAGAATTCGACATATAAAGGTCTTTTGATTTTTGATATTCAGAAGATAAGAAGGCACTTGAAAAATCGTTCAATTCCGTTATCGTTGTAACGCCCAAGTAATCATTATTTTATAGAAAACTGATAAGAAAATAATATAAAAGCCAAGTTGCGGAGGTAAACTCAGAAGTTTCCGTTAGACAGTCGAAAGAAAGAGGTCTGAAACCTAGTACATCATGACACCCGGATCACAGGATAATGTTACCATACGGATCATGACCAAGGATGATTACCCAAGAGTAAAGGCGTTCATGAAGGATGATTTCTTTACGTCAGAACCCCTGTGCCAATCCAGTGGGCAGGCGATGCATCTGCAGAACGAGAAAGAAAACGACGCGTATCACCTCTCAATGATAGCCCAAGGCACCTGTTTGGTGGCCCTTGACGAGAGCAACGGTGGCCGATTGGTTGGCTTCGTCCTTGCCGGAGCGCAGTTCCCCGAAGATCTCGAGAAGCATCGCCAGGAGGCAGAGGTCATGGAGCAACATTACTGGGGCCGCATTTGTCGCTTGCTCTCCAAGATCGAGCGCGATGCTGATCTCTTCCAAAGATATGGTATCTCCAAGGTTCTCTACTCCCACATCACCAGTGTGGATGCGTCGATGAGAGGAAAAGGCTTGGGCTCCCGGTTAGCTAGCAAACTGATGGATGTGGGTCGCTCCAAGGGGTTTCCTGCAATGGTGGCCTACTGTACGAGTTTCTACTCTGCCCGCCAAAAGGAAGCCTTGGGAATGGAGTGCATTCACTCCCTGGTCTACGCCGACTACAAGGACGATAGTGGTCGTGCGATTTTCACACCGGCAGCTCCCCACACAAAGGCTCGAGTCATGTTCATCAAATTGTGAGTTGGGATACCTCATAGGGAACTATATCCCAATCTCAGTCTAACTAATAACCATCATGGCAGATTTAATTAAATTATTTTGAAAACGAAAAATAAATATTGTTAAAATATTGTTATCAATTAAACTTATCTTTGTTACTATTTTATCTCATGACCAATAACCGGCACATTTAAAAATTTGATTGTTTCTTATTGATAAGAAAATAAATAAAAACAATAAGAAAAAGTTGTTGAAAATCAAGAAAAGATTATGTGGCACCACTTGGTTTACAGACACAAAGTGTGTGTGAATAACAAAAAGTCAAGTGTTTTGAATGTTTACCACGTTTAGGCTCTAGAACATATGAATTAGTGAATACAGGAAATAAAAATAGTAACCGAGATTAAATTAAATTTAATAAATTAGATTTCAATAATTTTTTTCTTCTTTATCTTTTATATTTATTTGTAAAACCCTTATACCATTTATAACAAATCAATCATAGCAATTAGCCGATTTTGCCATCGTATTGGGGAAACAAACAGATTAAAATGTGTAATAAATGGCCTCAACAAAATAATCTAGTTAGGCAATTTCTCTGTTTCATGCTGTTTTTGTTTTCATTTCACTTTTGTCATCTCCTGTAGCAGATTTTCCACTTTGCACGTACGAAAAAAACAACAGAGGCAACAGGAAAGTTCTCAACAGACCGTGTCCCCATCCCCAGACCCCAGTTTGCTGACAGTGTTGGGTCTCTTGAACCCACTGGGTTGGTTTATTTTTTTGTATTTTCAGCTTTTGCAGTGATTTCATTAAAATTTTACTGTCATAGTATAAGTTTTATTATGAACTCACGAACTGTTGCTGCTTCTGCAGACGTGGGCCAAAAATAACACCGTCGAAGTAAATAAGCGGAGAGCTGGTGCATGGGGAGGAGTGAATGAGAACCAAGGACTCAAAAGTCATCTCAGGTTGGCCTAGCCTGCATCATAGGTGTGTTTTTCCTCCCACTGCACTAAAAAATGATACACACACCTGCAGTATGCTGAAAAGTAAAGAGAAATGCTAACCAAGGGATGTATCTGTATACAATTTCTTAGCTCTGAATCCGACTCATTAAATTAAGGTAATTGGTCTTTTATTTAGTTAGTCCTAAGGGGAGTAGATAAATTATAGGATTTGTTTTAAGTTTTCCAACGCTTTTAAGTTTATTATGGAATATGTTTGTAAGTCTTCCATATATATATCTACAATTTTAAAGTTTAATGTTTTAACTTTCCTTATAAACATTTGCAATACATTCACCTCTTTATCCTTCAATCTCTGAAGAGTTTTTAGTCATTCGCTTAGATTCTTCATTTTTTGATAATTTAAACATTTGCCCTTTTCTGAAAAGAACACATATTCACCCCTGTCTTAATGATTTTTCAAAGAAGAAGATGCTTTTTTATGCGCCCGACGGCATTAACTTATAACTTTCTACTCTTAACTGTCTGCTGGTGGTGGTTAAAATGCAACAGCTTGTACTTATAATTGAAATGATTGCAGAAAGCAGACATAATTATATGGCTCTCTTTGTGGGTGTTATTTGCGGCTGCTGTTGATGAGAGCAGAGTGGCAAAAGACCAAGTAAAAAAAAAATTTCCTTGATTTACCAGTTATAATAAACGTAAGATGTTTGCTTTTCAATGGTTCCATAAAATACTTTACATATTTAAAACCAATTTCAGAAGGCCTATATTTTGTAAATTAAAAGAAAATCCTCTATTGTTTCCACCTTAGGATCTCATTTACAAGCTAAAGAGACCACCTTGATGTACCCACTTTGGTAAATTTGAACAAATCAGAATTTCAAATGCTCAGCTCGACTCATTTCCAAACAATTACTTTAAGGGCCAAATCATTTTGCGATGCCGTCAGCCGGCGTAATCCGTCGGCCGTCGTAAGCCGTCTTTGGGCGCATTAGCTGCAACAATTTCCAAACTGCCGCTCGGCAAATAGGCAACCCTTTCGGCTGCTAAGCAAATATGTGTACAATGTACAGGCCAGTGGATGCAGCATCCCTCAATCAGGTGGTTGCGGTGGGGCCCATGAGGATAAACTCCGAAAAGCGACCGAAAAGCGGCTTAAAACTCTTGAGTCGGCGGCAGGATCTGACCCGGTACAAAGGAAATTCTATGACAACATTGGCAAGGAGGTTGCCGCGAGCGAGGTAGGACCTTGCTGGGCTGGTAGGGCGCAAATTAAGCATTGCCATGGCGATGCCCCGTCTAAGATGATTGATTGAGCTTTTAGTTAAATTGCGCCAGCGGCCAGTCAAAGCAGCCCCAACACATGGCCTGCCACCGTCTTAGGCAAAGTTCCGCGGTCCTTCGTCCTTCGTCCTCAGTCCTTAGTCTCCACAACTTCGACCAGGTTGCCTTAGCAAAAGCTTGGGACTTAAGTAAGGCGCTGTATAAATGGACTTGTTTGCACATCTATTCCTGGAGAGCTTGTGCCTTTAGGTTGCATAGAATAGTGTGTAGAATAAGTCAGGACGATCAGATGAACTCAAAGAAAAGGTAGCTTGTGAATGTTCTATGTAAGCAATTATAATAATACAACTTAAAAGTCCTCAAAATAAATACATTTTTAAGACATACATATATGAAATAGTGTTACAAGTTTAAATGTGTGAAAAAAAAGGAACCAAGTACTAGATATTAGTAAACGAATGGCTAACTCTTTGTGTAATATTTTGTCCATTAAAGTTTAAAAAAATATAGAAAAATAGATGAATAGCCAAAAAAGGAGTTATTTCTGACAAGTAAATGGTTTTTTGCTCGCAAAACACCTCCCGAAAAGTCCAGATCTATGAGAAAAGACCGATATCGCTTGGACACCTTGGTTGTGAATAATGAATCATTTTTTCGAATAACTTCGACTCCAACCAAAGTTGGAGCCCACCGACTGGGCAGACAAATCTATTAGTGTATTGCTCTCTCGGCGACGAAAAGAGCAAACATTAGCGTCTAATTCCCTCGCGCAACAAATTCATCAACTGCCACATAATCCAGCAAATTTTTCAGCACTTAAATTTGGACATGACCTGAAACTTTTTCCCTCGTTTTTTTTTTGCCTACTTTTGGCGGCCTCCTAATCCCTAAACTGTCGCAAAACTTTGGTAGCACACAAAAGCAAAACAAAAAAAAAAAACGAAATGTAAGGGAAGGCAAAAAAGGCCAACAAAACTTTTGCTACAGATAAAAGTGCAAAGTTTGAGAGGGCGCCAAGGAGGGAGGGCGGCAGGGGGAATGAGGGACTGGAGAGGAAAAATCCGCAGAAGGACAGTGAGGCGAAAATTACAAACATT